AGATTGATAGTACTGCTACGATTCCCATATGTAAACATGGTTCAAATCAGTCTTGTGCTCAATTACGGTCAACCGTAATCTGCCAACAAAATACCAACCCTCCCGGAGTAGCCCAGTTTTGTTCTGTTAGCAGTAACAAGCCAAATAACAAGTTAACGCACCAGGCCTACCCTAATTCTAACAAACACGTTACTCAGCAAATCGAAGGTGCACCAGGAATAAATAAAGGTCAACAGAATCATTATAAAGTATGCAAATCCACCTCCGACCATAAATTAGAAACTCCCAAGGCCAATCCTGAAGTAAACATGAATCAAAGCAGTATTACGCTCATCATTACAACTTAGTCAGTCCTGTAAAACAAAGTAATTCCCATCAACATTCCCAAGCTGTTTTTCGCCCACAATCAAATGTCAGTTGTGTGAAGCCAAAACCAAGAAATAAACAGAATGTACAACATATTTCAAACCTTAGTTGTGCTAATACTGGCGAAAGTCAGCCGGCACCAAGTGGGACTGGATCTTTGAAATGGTTGGCCCGCCTACCTCTGGTTGAAACGCTTACCGCGACAGTTAGTAACCCCATGCATACATCTCGAAGTGGGGCCGAACCCCTTGATTGGATAGGACGGTTGCCCCTACTTGTTAATTACTCGACACATGCGCCTCGCTCACGCCAGACTCAAAGGAATGAAACAGGAAAGATGAACCGGCATACGTTTTTCGGTCGCGATTCAGCCAGCAGGCAGACTGGTTGAATTACCTGGAGTTTGTCCGTCGCACATTGCAATAAACTTGGAGATCCCTCTCGCAGCTAGTAACAACACTATAATCACACCAGAACGAAACACTATACCAGTAAGAATTACATCTTACCATGAATTCGAAGGTCAGCAGTCTAGCGCTTCGTGTTATAATGAACATATTCCTAATACTAGCAAACGAAACCGTAGCGGAACGCGTAATCTAATTGAAATTCCAATCAAGAATCCATCCCTATATCAAAGCACGTCTCTATATCAAAGCCCAAAGTGCGGCCAAAGTAATTTACTGACATTCTTTCTCTTAAATACAAGATCACTTTTACCAAAGGTGGATGAATTAAAAATTATACTTGACCAATATGATGTGAGTATGGCCTTCATAACCGAAACATGGTTAAATGAGAAAATCGACGATGCAGCAGTTTGTATTCGCGGGTATTCAATAGCAAGATGTGATCGAATTGATAAACTTGGCGGGGGAGTTTGTGCTTTTATTAAATCAGACATCCCGTTCAAAATTCTAACAGAATTTAATGACATCAATTTTGAAACCTTATGGATCTATGTACGACCTTATAAACTTAATCGAGGCTTCTCGTGTTTGATCGTCTGTGTGGCCTATAAACCTCCATCCAGCGACAACGCCGCGTTTATAGATCACCTCAGCTCAACACTTGAACTCGCTCTCAGTAAGTACCCAAATGCAGGTATATTTTTACTCGGAGATTTTAACAGATGTCCTGTCTCATCTTTATTAAGACATTTTACTTTGAAACAAATCGTAAAACAACCAACCAGGAAAGATGCTGTCCTTGATCTTATTCTTACTAATATGTCAGACACATGTGACCCTCCTAAGGTGATCGCACCCATCGGACTCAGCGACCATAATTCCGTTTTATGCATTTTAAAAAAATGTAAATCATTGAACGGATGCAAGAAAATAAACATTAGACCCGGTAACAGAGGTGCCAAAGTTGCATTTGGAAGATGGCTAACGAACTATAATTGGACTAACCTGTATCGTACTGCACCGTGCGAACAAAAACTGGAAATTTTTCAGGATGTTATTCATACCGACTTAGACCACTTCCTTCCATGTAAAGTAGTTAAAATGCACGACCGAGATAAGCCTTGGATAACACCTTCATACAAGGAACGTATTAAAAGCAGACAGAAGGCATTTTTTCAGAAAAATGACAAATTGTACCGGCGACTACGTAATCGTGCCAATCGAGAAAGTAAGTACCTTAAATCTGCATTCTTAGAACATAAAGTGAAACAATTGAAACGTAACCCTGATCCTAAGAAATGGTGGAACACCATAAAACAAATAGCTGGCTACCCTAAGAAGAAATCTTTTACAAGTATTGTCCTAGGAGAGCAAGTCGTCTCTGGAAAGCAACTTGCTGAAAAAATTAACGAGGCTTTCGTATCCGTTACTCGAGATATTCTTCCCCTTAGGCCTATCCCTTTCCCCGATAGCCAATTACAAAGCGATTGTACTACAATTCCAACCGAGTACATTATTAGGGAAGAAGACATTTATTATAAATTATCTTCAATATCATCCTCGAAAGCGGCTGGTCCAGATGAAATACCGAATTGGGTCCTAAAAGATTATGCGCCCCTGCTGTCTTCCCCTGTTACTTCAATCTTCAACGCCTCCCTTCAACAGGCGTCTGTTCCCGCGGTATGGAAAAAAGCCGACGTCATCCCTGTACCTAAAAATAAGGTGCTGAAGGACATTACTAAAGACTTGCGTCCCATCTCGCTTACTGCCACTTTGTCAAAAACGTGTAAACGTTTTGTCGCAGACTGGCTGATGGAGTTGATTGGTGAGAAGATCGATAAACGGCAATTTGGATCTCTAAAAAACTCTTCAACAACACATGCATTATTGAGCCTTCTCCATTACTTATTAAACGAAACTGATGTGCCGAAAAACGCTGTGAGAATTTTTTTATTAGACTTCTCCAAAGCTTTTGATCATATTGATCATAACATCCTCCTCAGTAAATTATCTGATATGGACGTTCCATCATTAATAACAAACTGGATAAGAAGTTTTCTTACTCAACGAAGCCAACGGGTCAGAATGCCCCATTGTGTGTCAGAATGGCAAATCCTCAACGGTGGAGTACCCCAGGGAGCTGTTTTAGGCCCAATCCTCTTCCTAATCATGATAAATGATCTCCTCGCCGATTGGAAAGACCGATGGAAATACGTTGACGACACCACCACTACCGAAACATTGGCCCAGATTGTAACAGCAACCTTCAAGAACTGGTTAATTACATCAATAATTGGACTACGAGTAATAATATGAAATTAAACATTGGAAAATGCAAAGAACTGGTTATTGATTTTGCAAAAAAGAAGCATTGCTTTCCCCCTTTAACAGTCGATAAAGTTAATATTGAACGAGAGAAATCCGCCCGTATCCTTGGCCTCACAGTTCAAGATAACATGAAGTGGAATGAACATATAAACAACATAGTTAAAAAAGCTAGCAAGAGGCTCTATATGCTAAGACTGCTAAAAAGGTCCAACGAGTCTATTGACACGTTAATTACTGTATATACTACCATTATTAGGCCTGTTTTAGAGAACGCATGCCAGATCTGGCATTACAATATCCAACAATATTTATGTGACGATATTGAAAAAATACAAAAACGCGCGTTGAGAATAATCCTCCCATCGCAAAAGTACGACGAAGCGCTGATCACGACTAACATCACGTCACTGAGAGATCGACGAGAAAAATTATGCGAACATTTCTTTGAGAAGAATATTGACAATGAAAATCTCAAAGATCTTTTACCACAAACAGTTTTATCTGGATATGATCTAAGACCGATATGTAAATATCATAATTATGTTTGCAGAACCGAACGTTTTAAGAATTTGTTTTTACCTCAAAGTATATTAAAGATTAACAGTAAATAAGTTTTTAGAAATGTAAATAATCTTAAATATGTAATTATTATGTAATTTTAACTTATCCTCTTAATTTATGTAATACTGGTGTAATTTAACCTTTTTGGGTTACAAAGTCAGTAGTCATTAAATCAAAATTAAATAACATCTTTCTGCTTGCGCTGGGCATGGAAATTATATAATATAATATATATATATATATTGCATGCACTGTATATGTATGTAAAAAAAAACATTTAATAAAGTTTCCATTATTATTATTTTTTTTTTATAATTTCAATATATATATTTATAAATATTGAAATAGCAAATTCAGTTAAATTGCTCAAACTAGTTTTCTTGTTCTTACTCAATAAGATCGGAATGTTTTTTGGCCACCAAATTGTTGAATATTTGCCTACAAAATTGCTTTTTTGTAACATCAGAGGAGTGCCTCCCCCCCTCCCTCCCCCCCCCCCAAGCTCCCTAGGATCCCCCCCTTTTTTTTCTTTACAGTAAATATAGTCCTTAGAGAATAATCTTTCCTTAGCATTGCTTTGCAGCCTTTCAGGCTGCGAGCAGGCTATGGGGCTATTGGCGACGTGGCTCTTATTACGCATTCAATAAAATGCCCGAATCCCAGTGCCCACGCGACTTGCATACTAACGAGGTTGCCAAACAGTTGCTTTCTTTTCCGGTGGACAGTCGCAGCAGAATAGAACGCCATGAATGTCTCCTCGACGACTTGTAAGTATATTCATCTTTTATACCCAAACCGAATGAATCTGTCGCTAGTTTACCCATCTTATATACCCATTTTATCATTCTCGTTATTTAGCTGGCACGATAATTTCCACAATTTCGCCGGGAATAAGCAACAAACAGAATGAAATTAGTGATGAAGACAGCTATCGTGACTTCTACACCGGACTTGGACTAGCAATTAGCTCGAGCGTATTTATTGGAAGTAGCTTTATCATAAAGAAAAAGGGTCTTCTTCGTGTCTCACAATCCTCTGGTGTCAGAGCTGGTATGTAAAATTATACGAGTGTCATAACTTAGGCACCTTCGACACACAAATGGACAGTGTTCCGTTTGTATTAATTGCAGTGTTGTCAATTTGTCACTACATAACAGTATTAATACATTAACATTTAATATAGCAAAGAAATTATTTACAGACAGGCTGTCTTTAATCTTGAATTCATATAAAATATTTGATTACAATGTATCATGTGTGTTTAGAATTCAATATTCCACATAATCCGCAATTGTTTCCGATTTCAATTTTCAAAATATTCAATGCCTCAAATGCCCAATAAAAGTTCATATTAATTGTGGAGAATACAGTTTGATTGTCACCAATTTAATATTTCTTGTTTTATTTTTACTTGTACTCCTTCGAGGTCAGCTTGTTTGTGGTTGTGATTTGGTTTGGTAAAAATGAAATATTAAACACAATAATATTAGAAATTTTCACTGTCAGTAGTACTTAGCATTATTTTGAATAAGTTTGGGCATGAAAGATTCTTTGTTAATGTTTTAAAAGCTTCAGGAAATGTTTTCTTGGTATTTGTAATTGAGTGTGAACATAGCAACATATTTTAATGCTGATAAAGAACACCTTCAGAGAAATTTGTCACAATTCTAGCAAGCAATACATTGCAGGAACCACAATATTAGCATTTTTACAAAAATAAAAACAATCATAATTCTGAACTTAGTACACATTTTCAAAATTATTTATTTGTATGTTTCGACTGGAATGTAGTCATCATCAGGATTGCTAACAACATTACAGAACTAGTTATATGTAATGTGAAGAAATATGAGAATGTCTAGATAAAAAGTAAATATATAATAGTTTTGTTTGTGGAAACACCACGTAAATTTATTACTGCAAAGCTTTCGATCTGTAAGCCCGGATCTTCATCAGTGCTAATAATATGTGACTTGTTCAATTCATGCGCCCTTTTTATATACAAAAGTGTCGTGATCCGTTGGCTCACGTCATTTGAAATTTAATTAAATGGCACATCAACCACGTCATTTCAAACGTAGTGAAGTGATTCTAATTAACGTGTGCGCATCCAAGACAAGAGAAATTAATGTCACACATTAAAGATAGCACGCCACAAATCCCTCCTGATCTATAGTATTGTGCTTCTCGATTTCAATTGACTCTCTCATTTTGCAAGAGAACTTATGACTAGCAATCACCAAAATGGTTGCTTCGTCCCATTTTATACGATGGTCACAACAAATCACATATTATTAGCACTGATGAATATCCCGGCTTACGGATCGAAAGCTTTGCAGTAATAAATTTATGTGGTGTTTCCACAAACAAAACTATTACTGTATATGTTTTATCACCATGCAAACATACAAAGAACTTAAAAAGTAATTAGGTAAATATTAGTTCTTTAGAGGCTTTCGTTAACTAATAATATTGAACTAATTACCTTATATAGACATTCTTATATTTCTTTACATTACAGTCTTTGAAATAGAGCTGTGCGGTTCCAAAAATTTTATCTCGGTTCCGGTTTCGGTTTTTTTGGAACAAAAAAACCTCGGTTCGGTTCGGTTTCGGTTATTTTCAAAAAAGAAGAACAGTACAAATGTATGAACTCATTTATGTATGTTTCGAGCATTTTTACTAAATAGATGAATTTATGCCTTTGTAAGTTTGTATAAACCTCTGAATATTTTAAAAGAACAATTGGAATTTATTTATGAAGATGTAATATTTCTTAGTTTTTAAAAAAATTTAAAATATCAACTATTTGAGCACTTAGTACAGTGCATATTGTGCACAAAGAGCACAATCTTGTTATTTTCCAAACATTTCAACCTGCAATCAGGTGGGCGTTAAACGGGAAATTAAAACCGAAACTACCGGTTTTTTGCGTATAGTTTTTCGGTGCTGAAAAAAGTACCGGAAGAACCGAATTTTTCGGTTAACCGCACAGCTCTACTTTGAAACACCCGAAATTTCAGGTCGGCAAGAAATTGCCGACCTAAAAGTGATAATTCTCAATTTAGGTCGGCAAATATTTTCAAAACAAATAGAAAATATCCAAATGAAAATTTAATTTGCTTGCTGCAAATACGCATTTATAAACTTCAATTAATTGCAATCAATGCCAATAGCAAACAAAGCAACTAACAAAATGTACGAACTGCAATCGAACAGTGCATGTTGACGCCAAATGTTGTGACAGCTTTCTTACCATATAATTTTGCTTGGACGATTTTAACACATATGTTTACTTTCAAAGTTTCAAGTATCACCTTTCAACAATGAAACTGCAATGTGACTACGCAAGCTAATGATCAAAACCTGATAATTAAAACATCATCGTTGAAAATGCGTATGTGAAAGATGCATTCGAGGAAAAAAATGCCGAGAGGTTTTTTGAAAGTAGGTCGGCAAAATTTTGCCGACCTAAATCTACACATATCGCTTTGCAGGTCAGCATTTAGGTCGCAAGGACTGCATTATGTATACCTATGTTCTGTAGTAATTTTAGCTAGAGATGAGCCGATCACTGAAATTGCCGATTAGCCGATTCGATTAATCGGTGGCCGATAATACCCAATAATCGGCCGATTAATCGGCCAAAGCCGATTATTTCCATTTACACATTTAGCAGTAGGCTTTAGCTATTCAGGTGAACCTCAGATGCTTTAGAGCATTAAAATAAAACTTGAGAAGCTACTGTAATGTAGCAAAGACAAAAGTATTCGGCTACAGTATCTCTGGCATTCATTCACGTCTCTTTCTCCCTTCTGAAGCTGGATACAAATTGAAAAGTTTTCCACTTCTTTTTCATGACATTCTCTTTTGTCTCATGTATGATGTACTGGTCGTCCGTGCGCACACAATGTTTTCACTAAGAGTTATGTACGCACACAATGTTTCATTCACTAAGAGGTACACACAATCCAGCTACATGGTCATGGGGGTCACATGTACTGTATAAGTGTTAATTTTGCACTTAATAATTGCATTTCCGATGAAGATAAATGCAAGATCTGATTTGTATACTGTATGTCTTTGTGTAGCAGCTGCATGCTGCTCTATAACATGAAAAGATTGTCAAACATGTGCAAACAAAACACAATGAATACACAGATTTTCATTTATTTCTAACATAAAAAAGAAACTGGTCAATAATGGGCAAATGGCCGATTGTACAGAAACAATCGGTCGATTACAGATTATTAAAAATTGGCCGATTATCGGCCGGTTAATCGGCTTGGCCGATTAATCGGCTCATCCCTAATTTTAGCATTGTAAGTAGATTGTCACTACACTCTAGTGTTTTGTATTTTCTAGGCAGCCATCCTATGCATGTTTCAATTATTGTACTAGTTACATGTATGTACATCAGTGCATGTATCACGTACATACATGTGTTGAGTTAAAAATTGAATTCAGTAATTATGTTCACATTATTCAAGGTTTTGTCACTTGTACAGGTAGTTGGTACAGATATATATGGTCTAAAACCTGCCTCATACCCACTGGCACTATATTCACTGTGGGCTATATTCACTGTATGCTATTTTCACTGTAGGTTATATAATAGGGATACAGTACTACATGAAGTATTGCAATTGTTGGGTAACATGTTCAGGTTCCCCCTAAACCCATCATATACATGTAGTCATTCTGCTTTTTGACACATAATGAGTCTAAATATTGTCCAGTGCAGATATCTGGGTGTTAGGCTAGGTTAAGCCACAGCATTCTGGGTCATTCCCTAGTTTAACACATCCGTAACCTTTACCCTGTCTAATGCTACTGTGGGCAATATTTCTTCCAATATACCTTGGCCCAGTGTTGGAAAATATCTGGCAGCGGCAGCACCACCGCTGCCAGGAAATCTTTAACAAAATATCTTTGCAGGAAAATTTAATTCTTAGACTTTACAAGAAATTTTTGTCATCTTATACTTCTATACTGGAATTTCATATAATTTACACTTTTACACTGTAAAAAAATCCGAAAATGTTTTGCAAGTCGAGATTATCTTTGTGGCAATTAAGATTGAAGTTAATCACAATGTGTGGCGCACCATACAGTGTACATTCTCTAAAATCTGTATAATATGCAGGGAGTTTTGTATATACTTACACAGGAAACTTTTAGTTTTGATTTTGCTGCCAGGAAGAGAAATATATTTTCATGCATTTAAAGCTTGAAAATATTGTGGTATTCAATTCCCCTTATCGCTCTACCAAATACCTTAATATAACTTTCACCAATGACCTTGATAACATACAGTACAGCACATTATGTGGTTTCAAAACATTTTTTAATCATTCAAACATTTTTACAAAACCTGCGTCAACGTTTTGCACCAGGGTTCAACATTTTTTTCTCCTAGGATAACCAGTAGTATTGGTTTGGTTGTTCATATGATGTTTTTGTTGTCCAAGCTCAAGCCGAGGAAGAAATTGTTTCATGACATAAATAATTAAATAGTGCACATTTTGGCATGTTGCAGGACTATCCCTGCAAAATGAAGTATGTACTCAGGGTGTTGTACCAACTGCTACTGTAGTTAAAGAACAGCAGGTTCGTGACTCATGAGTACAGTCATGAATTTGGAGTAAACATCTTACAGTTACAATAAAATTTAAAACGGCAGCTGGGAAAATAAAATCCTTCTAGCATTAATTCTCAAGTATTTTGTCTGAGTTCTGTCTTGTGACTAACTTTCAGGTAGCTTTTAAATTTCAAAGCAAAAAGGCTCAAATATTTATACAGATTTGGGGATTTGAGTCATGACATGTTGGGTTGTCCAAGGAACAACCGTACAACAAACATCGGTAAATTTGGTTGTCCCATCATGATTTCAGTTGTCAACAGCTAATTTTGAATTTTGTTTTGTACCATCTGTGCTTGAATCCCATGCAAGGCATGCATCACTGATATACAGTAGTAAAGGAATACCGAATGGTTTTCCGTGCAGGATTGCGTGATCCGTGCACGAGGGATGTTGCGAGACTTTCGGAAAGCGTAAAAATACACGAGCCGTAGGCGAGTATATTTTTACGCTTTCCGAAAGTCGAGCAACATCCCAAGTGCATGGATCATGCTATCCTGCACGGGAAAACCATTTGGTAATTGTTTTATAAAATTACTACAGTGAAACGACGCTTAACTTGATTAAAATTACTGATGAAATGTGCAGTTCTCACAACATTCGTGAATTAACCAATCAGAGAATCGCTAATCCACGCTATTGAAAACAGCAACATATGTGAACAGAATTTGATCGCAAATTCGCGAAAATATACAGCGAAAATACAGGGACTTTTTCGATAAAATATACGAAATTTGAAATGGAAAACCCGCTAAACAGACAGTCAAAGTAGTAGTGAAGATTCTCGACCTGAATATGTGAAGATTGCGAAGCGTTTGATCAACTTTGAAGCGAGAGATGTTGTACTTGCATGCCATGGTCTGATGAATTTCAACGCTTTATACGCGTTGCTACTTGCTGAATAGCAATGTATCGATCAGAAATTTATTCATACAACTAAACCAACGTCTCAATAATTGGAAACTTACTTCAAAGTCGAAAGGTATCGTACAATGAAACTTTACAATGCGAGTATATTTGTAAAATTATATGCAATAATTTCTGTTCAGAATTTCCCGTGCAGGATTGTCTGATCCTGCACGGCTGTTGACCAATCAAATTGCGTGTTTCACTGTAGTTATTATATAAAGCCCATTGTGTGTTGTATATGCATGTTTGCTTGTCAGATTTTGAAAACTAGTAATTACGGTATATGTCTCAGTTTCAAGTTTGAAATGGGGATGCAGGCTTGCAAATTTGTGTTAGTCATCGGACGGCAAAATTTTACCTTTTGTCAGACCAAAGCTTTTTACTGTGCGACTGCATCGACATGTGACTGACCAATTTGGGTTGGTCAAATGGCCCATTTCAAAAAATGATTTTTATTGACACATAATGAAACCTAAGCAATATGAACAACACTTCCCACTATTTCTTGCTGCGTTAAGCCATACGATATCACTACAAATACAGTATAAATCTAAACTGCCTTTGTATAACATGGTAGATATTAAAGTTATGTACTGTATAACCTGAACCGTAATTTGCAGAAGATGCATTAGGACTGGCAAATATACACTCAGTTTTAGATGCATTGCAGTGCAAACTAACATGACCAGCCTAAATGCATTGTGCGAATTAAAAAATATGAAAAATTTTACTTTGGCTACGTACTGTACAAGAAAAACTGATAAATGTCTGACCAATTTTTGCCTTGGGGGAATATTTGTCCTTCCAAGCAAAATAATTATTTGCAGAACTGCAGATGTTGATAGGCTATATAAACTCAAAGCAAAGATTACAGTGAGAATTATTTTATATTTATGATTTTAGGCAGTGGTGGTTTTGCTTACTTAAAAGAATGGCTTTGGTGGACTGGGTTAATGTTAAGTAAGTGAATTATCAGCTATATATTAGCCCGAAAATATTAATCAATATATCAACCACAGGATTAGATCTACAGTACATTTAATATGTACTCTGTAGTGAATATAATTTCAAATGTGTTTCTACAATAAATGATACAGTTGCTGCAGTTCAAATGGGTCATCTTTGAAAAGATAAACACTACCCAACACACCCACACAGAAATTTCTGCTCAGATCATGCATACAAACACTCACTAGAGTTTATCGTACCAGGGGGATCTCAGCAAGCCGCAAGAGCCTTGTGCCATCCAGCCATAATCATATACATGCAAACAGACTCTTAATATGGTCCATTTGTACAGTATCAACTTCCAGTTGTCACCCTCAGTTACGCTACTTAGGTTATACTGTATTTTACTACTTACAGTAAGATAGTGTACTACTACATCAATTTCATTTTGGCTATTAAGCACAGTAGCAGTGTATCTACAGTGTTACAGATACTGCATACAGCAAGTAACGGTTGGATTAATAAATTTGTTATGTTTACAGTGGTGTTTGGTGAGATAGCCAACTTTACAGCTTATGCATTTGCTCCCGCAGTATTAGTAACACCGCTGGGTGCTCTGAGTGTTCTAGTCAGGTAAGAATACAACTTATAACAAAATGTAAATGTACAGTTATCTAAATCTATAATCGTATTATAGAGCCTCGAGTAGCGGTCAAAATTGTCCGGAAAAATGTCCAACCGAAATGAAAGTTAGTCGCACATTTTGGAATTTGGTCAGACATCGAGCACTAGCAGTAAATAATACTTCAAGCTACATTTGCATACTGTGATTTATTGGGGCTGGGATGATTTCAGAAAGTATTATCAACTGACAATATTTGTCATTCAGAAAAAACGGAAATTGGCCCAACATATTGCAATGTGTAAAGTTAACGTACCTTTTATAGTATACATCTTGTTTCCTGAGCCCGCATTTTTGCGCCAATTTGCTTATCTTTCAATTTTGTTTTCAGTGCTATATTAGCTTCATATTTTCTTCGCGAAGACTTAAATATCCATGGAAAAATTGGTTGTTTTCTATCTCTTGTTGGGTCAGTGGTCCTCGTAATTCATGCGCCCCAAGAGGAGTCAATTGCCACAGTTGAGGAACTGAGTGCTAAATTAACAGATGCAGGTAGGTTATTATACACTGCTCGATAATAATATGTATGGGTGGTTTTACAGTACAGTACAGCACAGTACAGTATGTCTTCCTTGTTGGAGGGAAGCGCTATTGAAGAACGGAAACTCCTATTTCTATTCACTCTGTTGAACGTACAGTACATGTAAGTACTCGTACCTTCTAACATGGTAGTCATGACTACACTTGAAAACACCCTATTTACTGCTGTTCTGTAAAACATTTCCTGTATAGTAATCACTACTTCACTTATCATCGTTTATTGTTGTGCAGTTTCCTATCCAAATCTGGCGGACAAAGCCTGGCCGCATGGCGTGAGAAGCCTAATTAAAGAAAAGAGAAACCTGAAACGGCTCAATATAATATTCCAATTGCGGATAAGATCGTTTCTCGAGTTCTCCGCAATGCCTTGATCAATAAATACTAGAACTTTGATTTTGACAAAAAAATGGGAATGAGATTTCATTTTGAAAATTGTAGTACAGGGGGCCCCACTGTGAGTTATGATTGAAATAATATTGTATTTATTTTTAAACCTACTTGAATCCCTTGATAATCGATTATTTCTTCTCTCGAAATTCTGTAAACATTTTAAACTGCTTGAATCATTCCCACCGGGCACACGACGTTGTTTCAACGTTGAAATTTGGTAGAAAAAAGGTTGCGACGTCGACAACCTAATATCTACGTTGCTCTGACGTTGTTTTACAAACATTGGTTCAACAGCAGCCAACAGACATTGAATTAACGTTCATTCATGGTTAAATGTACGACGTCGATTTGTGAACCAATCTCAACGTTGTTTTAACGTGGATTCAACGTTGAATTATGGTTGACGAGATTGGCAACCTAATTTCAACGTTGTTTCAACGTCGAAACAGTAACGTTGATCAAATTTGCATAGTCAACCCTTTTTCAACGTCTATCCAACGCAGGGGCGGATTCAGACCGTTGCAACCGTAGCATATGCTACGGTCAGATTTTCCCTGAGATATATTTTTCCAGTTTGTACCTTTTTTTAAAGTTATTAAAAACTAAAACGTTATACTATTTTTTAATTGCTGATATTTTCAATTTTTCATTGAAACTTGGTGCAATTTTTTTAAAATTTACGAAATCATATTGATACAATTTTATCGAGTTTTTATTTCATTTTGGATAATTAAATTCGGGTTTTTCTCAAATTTCCGCCCGAAATACTGCCTGTATTTGCGGGTTTTGCACTAGTACTATATCACATCGTTCTGAAGTCGTAGCATTTGCTTCATTGTGATTGGCTTGCTTCGTCTAACCGTAGCAAACCAATCATAGCGCTGTGTTTGGAAATTTTTGCAGTGGTCAGATTGAAACTGACCGTTGCAAAAATTTGCAAATACGGCGTGCTGATTGGTTTGCTACGGTCAGACGAAGCAAGCCAATCAGAATGAGGCAAAATGCTACTGTTTGCAATAGTCGCATCGACTTCAGAGCGATGCTGGCTTGTTATTGTCGTGTCGGCTCCTCGTTGTAATTGAATAGTCGGTAAATTTTAATCGATCGCCGCTCGTTCCAAGGAGAAAGATATGGCTTCTACAGGACTCCACGATCTTCTCATTCTGTGTATAATGAACGAATGTAAACGTGTTTCATTTAACGAAAAGGTGCGCGAAAGAATTCTGATCGAAAGCTTTTGGTGTGCGATTATTGGCATAATTTGCATTTCCCGCGATGTGAACTGTGAAGACAGCGCTGTTTGAATCACCTCCGTGTCAGGTCAGTCTCATGAATAGTATATTAAATATGTAAATAACATATCGAATTTTACACAGTTCATGCGTCTCGAATATATTACCATATATTTGCTGATAAAACGTATTATTATAAAAATGCAGAACAATATCAATGGCCACTCACACTATTTGATAGCCATTGGCATGCCATGTGTGTTTATATTAAGAAATATGTTAGTTAATCTCCTATATATTTTATATCTTAGACTTTGCTCATGTAATTATTAGTTGTAGACCTGTTGTAGTCTATAAAGACTAGTGAGTAGTGTAAATGAAATTTATAGAAATAGTTACACTCCGATATATTATATTGTAGTTTACATGTATACTAACAGAGTTTAGAATTACAACAGCTGAGCCTGCTTCCTGGGATAACGTATCATAAATATATGGTTAGATGTTTCAAATCCATGTATTGTATACCTTATACTTGTATTAAAATTCGCGTCGTATACTCATTTTCGTTCAGCTTTAAATTCGCGCATTCCAATTTCGCGAAACTTGTTCGCGCAGCTTTAAATTCGCGCAAGTAATTTTCCGTGTTGGTTCCTTTTGGTTTGTTTAATAGAACTATAACAACAAATACTTCAATATTTGTCAAAACAAAATTCATGATAACAGTAAAGCGTATAAAGTTCAAACTTCAAAATGTATGGTTTTCATTTGCCTAATACAATAACAATAACTAATTTTTATTAGCATGCCATATATTATAGGTTCGTATATGGTATTGCCTTACATTATATTATTTACTAACAACGAGTGAATATTACACCGCAAAGCTTTTCGCGCGGATTATATTTCCCGCAGTGCTAAAATTTGCGCACCCAGCTCCGCGCGAATTCCTGCAGAACTGCTCGAATTTTAGTACAAAAAACATATACAAATAAACATTTTTCCTAAATGCCGTTGTGCTGCTGTTTCAAGATGATCTACAAATAAACATTTTTCCTATAAATTGGAGATAATCTATATACAGTACAGAAAATATTTTTCCTGACTGCCATAAGTTGTCCTGCTGTTTCGGGATGATCTATATATGCTGCTTAGCCAGATAAACATTTTCCCTAACTGTCGTTGGGCCGCTCTTTCAAGATGATGTACATTTGAAAACTTTCGAACTACTGTTATCTTACTTTTTCAAGATAATCTGTTGTTCGAAGTGGTATGTTGATGAATAAATTTTGTAACTTTTGTGCGTTTTTTTCTTATTTTGGTGTGGAAAACAGGCACTTTTCTACAAATTTTAAATTTAATTTCGATGCTCAGAATGCAGGAAATGGTACTTGCGGGCTTCAAATTTCAAAAATTTTCTGGGGGGGGCATGCCCCAAAACCCCCCTAGGTTGGGCGTGGCCTTCGGCCCCGCATGTTGAATTCATCCAAAATGCTACGGTCAGATTGAGACGCTGAATCCGCCCCTGAGTTGTCTGGAAGGTCATTTCCAACGTTGATTCAACGTTGGATAAACGTCATTTTGCCCGCTGGGTTATACTATCACTCTACATGACGTTTCACGAAGTATATATGATCGCTGACAAGTAAGGACCGTGGGCGCGAAAAGACGAAGGCGGCGAAAGAAGGGAGAATTAAACTAAAGGGTTGAAACTTCGGCGGGTCATCGTTTGATGTGTTCCATAAGTAGGTTGTTCTCCGGAAATTTCGCACGGGGCCCCAATGTGAGTTAGGATTGAAAAAATATTGTATTTATTTTTAAAAACGTACTTGAATCCCTTGATCATCCATTATTTCTTCTCTCGAAGTTCTGTAAACCTTTTAAATGACTCGGAATCATTATACTTGACGTCACGAGAACAACCTACTTATGGAACACATTGTGCGAAAAAACCCTTCGAGTGTTTCATGTAAAAACATACGAAAAATCAATCGCTTATTGAATCTACTACATCAGTTGTGAAGATATATCCAAAAAGACATAGAATCTGAAAAAAAATATTCGAAAACACAAATAAATTGTGAATTTTAAGGCATTTAGAAATGTCATCTAGTCGAAGTTTCAACCCTTTAGTTTAATTCTCCCTTCTTTCACCGCCTTCGTCTTTTCGCGCCCGCGTTCTTACTTGTCAGCGATCATCTATACTTCATGTAGAGTGATAGTATAATGATTCAAGCAGTTTAAAATGTTTACAGAATTTCGAGAGAAGAAATAATCGATTATCAAGGGATTTAAGTAGGTTTTTAAAAATAAATACAATATTATTTCAATCATAACTCATAGTTGGGCCCCCTGTGATTGTAGCAGTGAAAGAGATGCACAGCATAATTTTATTCAGAAATAGATGATATTTGCACGGAATCAGGTTTCGTGGGCATACTGTACATATCCTTGTTCAAAGGCGAGGGTGCTAATTCCGCCAGGCTTTTACACCCGGGGAAAGGAAAGCATTAGCGAAGTCTAAAGTTCAATGATCGCGGGCGTATGGTGTATGGGTGGTCATCTCACTGATCTCAAAATATGGCTGTTTGCCAGGAGTGAAGAAGGCGAAAATATAAAAAATACATATAAGACAGCTTGGAAAATCGTTTCACAAATTTTTTTCAATTTTTAAACGTAAACATTAATAAGAACTGATTTAGTATGAGAAATCTTAAAGTACAGGGCAAGTTTGTTTTAATTGTTTATATATGACTTTGTATTATTTAATAATTTAATATAGACTTTGTAACTTTGTTCTTGTTGTTCAACTCTTTTCTATGCATTGTATGCGAATGTTTCTTAATTAATAACTTTTGTAGAAGTTCATGATAAAAAGGAAAGCAAATTATTTTCATTAGCGTCCTGTACGAATTAAATTTATTTCATTTCAAAGTGAGAGTAATAAGTTGAAACTCGAGTTGAAGAGTTTAATTTATAGTATCGGCAAAAAGCATATAAATTAAATGCAATTCACCTTTATAAACGTTTTACGTAGAGTTTCGTTTTGAATTTTACATTAAAATAAAGCCCATAGAAAACAAAATAATTTACCTACTTTATATATTTTAGAAATTGATAGTTCTGTGTTTAAAAGTGTTCAAGTTTCATCTATTTTTGCAGGTTTGTGCAAAAAATTTAAAAAAGCAATTATCGTGTTGCCATGACTAACATGACGTGCAACGCGAGCCTGCGTTCAGTGTTGGCGTAATTACGAATACTTCATGTTGAGACAATGCTTGGAAAATGTAGGCGAGGGGTACGTTGTTGCATCCATCTATTTCTAGTAAT